GAAGAACAAAGACTAACTTCCATGATCAGCTAGACTTATAATGAAACGAATTTGAGTATTTTTTTCTCTGATCATACTTAAGTCCTTTGTTTCCTGGATTGACTATCCATCGTCTGATTTAATTAAGTCATTTTACTTTGATATATCTCATTATGTAAATGATGACTATTTATAAACTCTTCAGAGGTATAATTCCAGATGCCATGATTTTGGTTGGAATTCTTCTTTTTTACCATTGACTTATATTACAGATGGACAGGTCAGTCTTTTTCACCGGTTCTCGTTATAAGAAATAAACATGCATAGTTCAAACTAGACACTTACTAAATGCCTATAATTGAAATCATTTAAATTTTTTTATAGATTGAACATTCGTAAATATTGACATGTGTGATTCTGCAAAAATATATGTATAAAATATCTATTCCAAAGTCATTTATGTTTATAATTATTATCTACAGAATAGAATTTCATCAATTCAAATATAGTTCAGATTATAAAATGTTCAATACATAAAGAACTGTATGTAGCAAGCATAGATGATAGAAGTGCATGCAAGAGCATTAGCAAATGTAATAGTTCCTTTCGAATTTCGATTAAATATCTGAATTTCAATCTTGTGAATCAAGACACATTTATATTCAAAAAATACTTTTAGAATTTTTGTTGAAGAAGGGTGTAAATCCTCAACTGATATCTTTGTAAGTGAGAATCACAATTTTCCAATTTGTCTTCCGAATAAAAATGTCCTTCTATCACAAACAGCTTAATACTTTTCATCTTAGTAAAGCTTTGTGAAATGGAAAAAAAGAACCTAGACTTTTTAGACAGAAGACGAGCCTGTGGAACGTTGATAAATCTATATTCGAAAATCTAGTAGTAGAAATATTGTGATCAATACTTGGAATTTCTTCGGCCAATCTTCCCCTTGATTGACATGTTCATTTTCAATTCTCTCTAACTTGTAGAGTGATCTATAAAGCGGGGGAGATGACATCTTTCCATCATCATGGTTGTCTTTGCTAAAGTTTTTTTCTGATTTAATTTGCATTAGGCATTTGAAGATAATTTGATAGTACTACTGTCTCGCATTAAAAGTTGAAGATTTAGACGAAACCATAGACGATTGCAATCCTTAATTAAACGAAATACACAAAAATGACATCAAGCATGGTATTACAGATTCAAAGAATTTATATTGTTGCATGTGTAATTACAAAGTATTCTTGGTATACAGATTGTTTTAGAAATATAGATATGCAAGGGAAGGATTACAAAGAATATACGTTAGTGGTGCATATGTTATATCAAAACCTGTAGATGAAGAACTATGTGTATTTGTATACACACTGATATGTAAAATGTTAACAAGTCGTAATTATCCTCATTTATCACTTTACTGAAAAGTTGTCATGTTTAATAAACCTCATCATGGGGTTTTCATAGCTACAACTTATTTCAAAATTAAATTAAAAGTTTTGTAATACTTTTCTAACTTTTTCACATTGTTACGGTTTTAATCTTTTGTTTTTACTTTAAAAAAAAATTACTTTTTTTAAAAAAAAAATCCTACGGGTACAAAAGTTTGTTAGCTTTAAAATTTCAAATTTTAAAATTTTTTTTTGGCAAACTTTTTTTATGCTTTAAAATTTTTTTTTTTGTGTTGGAAGATAAACTTATGGAAACACTCGGTCCGTTCCTGGAACTAATCAGTACTTAGCAATAAGTGTAACGTTTCTTGCTCAAGGAAACAAAAACTTGCCCCTGACGAGGTTTAAACCCATGCGGCCAACAATCCTTAGTACGATTGAACGATTGATTAAAATTTTTGAAATATTACAGAAAACATTTGTTTATCTTTTAATGCTTATTAAAATTTTATCTTTAAATGCTTGTTTATCTTTTAATGCTTGTTTCAACATTAACTCAAAACATTTAACAAAGTTGGTAAATATGGAGCCTGAGGTTTTTTTGACATGTATGTGTATTCGTTAAAAAATTCTGACTTGGGACATCCCTCATGATTAATGGAAACAAAACAAAATATTAAACACCGCAGACTCCCTTTTAACTTTTTGTTTGCTGAAGTAAACTTGCTAAAAATATTGTTATTTATTAAAAATTTTTATACGGACATTAGGCTACATAAAGCATACCTTACAAAACATATTCGCATAGGGCCGATAACTAAACATCACATTATTTATCTCTTTCTGTTCTCCCAAATTTATATAAATAAGTTCGTCTTTTTGTTGTTTTAATCTTACAAGAATAAAAAAATAAATAAAGAAAATAACCATCTAAAACAGAGTATTTTATCTGAACAATAAATAAGTAACACTTGCTGTATCCTAGAGATCGGAAACCATATATAAACGTATAAACAATACTATATTCACAGATGTCGATGTGTCGATGTTAACCAAAGGCAAATATTCTTGTAACATTGCTTTGTTCAGAAAACTGGCGTCTTTGGACACACTTTGCTAAATTACTTTCGAAAATATGAATGTATTGTAGCCATAAAGTTCAATTAAGGACAGTACTTGTTACAAAAATACAGACATTTTTACCAGTACACGTTTTTTTCTTGGACACAACGGGTTCACGTGTATCTGGACGCTTTTATAGAAATAGAAAAATTAAGATATTTGGACACGGATTCATAACACTGCATGTAGATGATTTCCTTAGGATAAACCTCTTAAAGCTTCTCTTTCTATTTCCTTAATAAAAATAACCCAGTAATTAAAGCAGATAATAATACTGATAGCTATGTATGAAGTTTAAACTTTTTGTATTTAATGATATTAATGAAAAGAAATATTACGTAAAATTCAAGCAAACAAATTTCAAACACATTTGGAGGTCAGTAAATCAGCAAATAATAAACGACAGCGCATAAAGGGAACACTATAACTTTTTTCAAAAACAAAGAAGAGAAACGAAAATCATTTGCGCTTTATGTAGCATAGAATTTTCATTGACACTGTCTACTTTATAAGAATTTATCTATGATTGTAGAACAAGGAGATGATTACAGAGTATTGCCAATCAATCAACTCAAGTAGATCTAATGCAGTACAAACATTAATTTACTTGCATTAATTTAGATGTTCTTTATATAGCGACAGAAAGCAATCAGGTTAAATTTAAGATCTTTATCCGCATTAATTTAGCGTTGTTTTTTTTCAATCTGATTGTTTTATTTGCGTGATGTTGAGGCAATCATTATTTTTGATGTTTTACAGAATAAACATTGCAGTTAATTTGATCTTGAGTGAGATATACAAACGTCATAGGCAAGAATGTCAGAAGACGTACCAAAAAGGAATCGTTTTGCGATTAAAATTGTTAAAATCAGTTATTGATACGTCCGACCCCTTCTTTCTCTGTTCTAGTATCCCATATTCCATTTTCGACTGGTTACCCTACTATAATGGAGGCCTTGTCGGTGTTTCCGGCTTATGTTTGGGGTGCGCGGTGTACATTGTTGATCTTTTCCCTGATATCTTTAAAAGATTTATTATTGAAAATTGTACATATATATTTTACTGGAATACTTCCGATATTGCATTAAAAATGCATATGAAATATTATGAAATGATAATATAGACAAAAGTTTATTGTTTTAGTCCGAATCAAATAAGGAAGCAAAGCCCATTACGAAGTCTGGAACGTCAAGATTACTTTTTAAAGTCAAATGGTTGGATCACTTTATAAGACAATTATGCTCCAGAAATGACTGTAATTTCATTTTTCAAAAATTATTTTTGGTGTTCTGTTAAAGTTTCCAGAATTTTACTTATTGGTCAAGTACCTGAAACATCTTTTGCTTCCTTTGCTTTTGTTTATTCGTATAGCTATATTGACTTGGTATTTAAATGATAGTCAAAATACTACTTTGTTAACATTTTGTTACTTTAATGACAAATAATTTCACATTCAGTGCTACTTGTTCAGATGATAAGTATCTAGCATGCTCTAAATCATTATTGAAACATTTTCAAACTCACCATAGTCCTATTGAAAGATGGAAATAATGTTCATTTCTGAGACATAAAATGCCTTTAAGACTGGTGATATGTGCTTTTGTCAACATTCTGTTTTCTGAAAATAATAACACTTACATACTGTCTAACAAGAGATTAAGACTGCCCGTCCAAAGCTTGAGTGGTTTTCAAATATCACTGAATAAGCATGTATATAGACCTTGCCTTTTTAATACCGTGGTGTAAAATTACTGAGTTTGTTCGTTGTATTATGCGTAACCTTTTCATGACATCTACAAAATGTCATATGACATGTTGTGTTATTCATTTCTTTTGAAATATCATACTCTTTTTTTTTTATTTCAAAAGTGTGGACATACAGCTTCAAATCAGGTCAAATTATCAACTATTCTTAAATTTTCATATTTTGATTTAAATATTATAAAATTCATTACATAACATTGATGAGTTTTTACTGAAATTCGATTGAATATAAAAATTTAGGTTCGGATGGAAAAAATAGTTTGTTTCATTTGATTTAGAATGAAACAAATGAGACCATATTTTCTGCAGTTCAAAAATATATCAAACTAAAAACGAGGTTTGAAACATAATTTCTGGTCTCCAAAAACCCGTCTAATTTTATACGTTTCTTTAAATTAACGTTACAAGAATTACATTTTATGTAATATAAGCTCATTGTAAAGAAAACTTAGCATATACAGTATTATTTAATTTCAATTAAATTTCTATTTACTTAGCCATAAATATTTAACATGCCATTTTTGTTGTAAATATATAATTTATGCGGAGAAGAACTTTATAAGAATGGATATATTTCGTTCTAATCCATTTCCACAGTGTATATAGCCGAATTTGTATGTCGTGTATTGTGCGTATGTTCTTGAATAAAATATGTTTAAACTAAAAGAGTACATGTAGTTACTTATGCAGGTTTTTTAATAATGTTGAAATATTTCATTTTATTTTTGTTCAATCTATTTGCAGGTTACTGGCCTTTAGACGTGGCACTCTGTGATCTATTTGTTACTTCAGACGTGCTACTTTGTACATCATCAATTCTGCACCTCTGTACGATTTCTTTGGAACGATTTCTAGCCATCCGAAGTCCGCTTATGTTACGGACACGAACTAAAAAAACAACACGTTTAAAAATCCTTCTCGTTTATCTTGCCGCGTTGGCAATAAGCAGTCCTATCATGATACTAGGCTTTGTAGATGAGAAGAATATATTGCCTGGAAACCAGTGTGTGCTAAGTAATAACCATTTTATAATTTACGGAAGTGTTAGCGCATTTTACATTCCCCTTGGGATCATGGGGATTTTGTTTGGTCTAACGATACATCTGCTGAGAGCGAAATCGAAAATGTGTGATCCAAACGAGAGTAGAGATGGAGATATAATCATGAGAAGATATAGAAGCAGCGGGTCGTTAAGTTTTAGGAAACGGCTGAAAGTTTTACAAAAAGAACAAAGTAGTAGAAGACCAATGTCACCACTTACGCCTATGTCATCTGTAGATGGAACTGAACATTTCTTTCGGCAGCAATCATCGTGTAGTAGTGACACCACTGTACAAGGTGAACAGGTAAAACCACTGTTTTATAAAGATACAGACCAGTCTGATAGTAGTTCATCAACGAGGAGTGAAAGCCCAACATCTCATCCGCTCAGTTCATCAGAGAGCACTGTTGTTGATCACACACCTTCCAGTGATTACCGTATTCATTTCGACAGCTTGCGACAAGAGAGCATTCCCGAAGACGAACTTTATGAGACAAGTACCAGCCGGATAGTGACGCGGTCTATCTCGGCCGAAACGCAAGATCGCGTATTAACCAATCAAAAACTTAGTGATATGAATGACAATGAGACTGTTCAATCAGGAGTTCCTAAAACATTTAGTGCGCCTTCAAGGCTACATGACCTTGTAAAAAAGCACCATGGGCTCAGTTCGGTAAGATCTTCGAGCAGTTTTATGTCAAAAAAGGATTCGCTAAGACAGAAACAAGTGAAAAGTACCGTGCGAACAGAGCAGAAAGCAAGTAAAACGTTAGGAATTTTATTCGGTTGTTTTGTGTTTTGTTGGGGACCATTTTTTATTGTTAACATTCTTACCGCTATTTGTGAGTCGTGCTCTTTTGACCATTTGATGGTGACGATATTTATGTGGTTAGGATATGTGTCCAGTACGCTGAATCCTGTTATTTACACTGTGTTCAACCGAACGTTTAAGACGACAATTATCAAACTTATGAAGTGTCAGTATAAACGAGTACAGAAGTCGATGAGGATAAAAGCTATTTGTGTTGGGTTAAACTATAACGTCCCTGATCGTAAAAAAGCTGATATGCAAATTCCATTATGATGAACGCATGCTGTTAATTTATGTTGATATTTATTAGATAATAATGTGTTCTTACATATGGTCGTTACGTATGATGACCGGTGACTTATTGCAATGTTTTAATGCAGATAATTAAAAGACAAATGAGTAGCGTCATGACAAAACCAACAAAGTGTGTTTGAGATCCATGCTGTTCGTTCGTTATCAGTTTCTCTACTTGTGCGAACAGCATGGATCCTGATCAGACTGCGCGGATGCGCAAGCTGGTCTGGATCCATGCTGGTTACAAACACACTTTGTTGGTTCTGTCATGGGCTCATTAATGAGTTTGAAAATGATATTATGCAGCTTACTTCAATTTACTTTCTTTGGCAAACAGTGTAAAAGCTTTCTACAAGAAAACGAATAGGGACACACTAAACCTTAAAATGCAGTCTTTATAAAGAAATCGAACTCTGATTTGGTCAGTGTTTAAAATGTTTAGTTTATGTTTAAGTATGTCTGCGCATGAAGTCTTTTAGTATTGCTTTTTTAACTTTAAAAACTTGTATTTATGCATGTCTTTAAATGAAATTTTAGTTGTAGTTTGTAAGACATTTATAAATAAGAATAAATATTACTGTACACAAACTAACGAAAAATGTGACACGTTAAGCAAGAATTTTAAGTATAAGGTTGGTTTTTGATTACATAGTGCGCCAATTTTTCTGTACACATAAATTATTCATACAATATCATGGTACTTATTTTAAATTATTTCAGATTGTATTGAATTCTCCTCTTGTTTCGTGTTCTGAATTACTGTAATTGACAATCGAATGTTGTTGTTGTTATTTATTTTTTCATATTTTACATGTATGTACACATATAATTTATTAAGTAGTATGTAAGCAATCTAAGAGTGTTGTTGGTATCATACAAGTTCAATACAATTAATTATCATGACACGAAAATCACAAGACCAAATTACAATTGGCCATTATATAGCTTACTTACTAGACAATTGATATGATTCGATGCTCTGATGATTACTGTGATATCATTAGAATGTTTGATATTTACTGTTGTGATTTTATGCACATTGCTCCTCAGATAGTATAAGCATCAAATTATTTGTAAAAATAAGACAATTGTTTAGGAAACAGTCAAATATATGTTTTGGAAATTATTCCTTTCTCCTTATTTTAAGATTATCATTTCTTTGTAAGCCACACGTATTTTACCATAAGCTCCTCTCTGGCACAGGAGTTAATGTCACTACCAATTCATATATACACAGTGATATAGCATTTTCACTACACGATAATACTATAAAAATGCTGAAACATAAGGAAGTTGTGTTTTAGTAGTGTCACTGCATCATTTTATTCCAAGTCTATTTTATACAATGGATCTCCATAATTCAGTACAGCACGTCGCCATACAAATATATTGCAGTAAATGTTTGCAACAAGTTTTGTTTTTGTAATTAACTGTCTCATGCAAAGATCAAAGATGTCGCTCTATAATCAGTGTGATATAATGTGCCCTAATTTATCCTGATACTAGTAAATAGAAACATACAAGTAAGTAATACATAAAGTCTCAGAATAATGAGATATTTCAAATTATCATTTACGATACAGAATATAGTAAAACTTGCTTCCAACTCATAACGGTTAAATGGCGGCTCGGAAAATATGGTTATATCAGCTTAACACCAGTTTAGATTTTATAACTGTCATGACATTGTGATATTGTATTTATATCACTGTACAATAATATTGTACTATTGTGAGTACATAATGACTTTGCTTCTTCAAACGGTAATTCTCCTTTTAATCATCTACGATGTCTACGCAATAGCGTATTTCAGCTTTGTAATGACATTGTAATATTCATGTTTATGATTAACTCTGAGATATAAACAAACGATATTTCTCCCTTCATAATGATGACTTTGCAACATTTCAAACTTAACTATATTTTTAAGAAATTCACTTTCTTCTTTTAGCATATTACTGGAGGGAAATAGATGCTTGATTTTATTTTATTTAACTATCTTTTGCATGAAAATCTGTTAATAAAGAAGCCTTTTTTTAATTTACCGAAGATACAACCGTTACGACAGCAAAATGTGTTTTAAAGGTACATTTTCTTTTGTGGAAAGCTGTGTTCTACATGAAGTTGTTCATTAAAATCACAAATTCTTTTTCATATCAAGAAAAATGCCTTTTTAAACAGTATTCTGAACTTGTGATGTAACACTAAACTAAACAAAATAGTGGTATTTGTGTCAAAATTTACGATTTAGACGAGTGTATACCTTTACGACGTTGTGTCGTTTATATCAAAGTAAGGGATAAAATTGATTACTCACTTTGTAATATTATCTTGAACTTAACCCAGCATATTCAGTTTTAATCTGGAAACTTATTTTGTCATTTCCTTTACCTGTATATTCTTTGGAATTTAAGGTTGTATGACAACACTGTTGTATGGTTATTACTGTTAACAAAGTATCACATTCTTTATCAGTTTCTTTTAATGTCAGGTTTTTTTTCCATCTAAGTTATTTATTTATCTTTGTTTATATTCTGATACCAAATTGTACATACAAAGAATTTTTACTTCTATTTGCCAAATACAAATCGTGAATAGATAAAAGTGTGTGTTATAGTGTTTTTTTCTTTAAAAAGTTCAAATGCAGGTCCTTATGATGAGTAGATATTCCCACACTATACATCAGCCACCTTGGAGACTTCAGCCACATGACGTAACGAAGTGAATATTCACGTAAATGACTTAGTACATTATTGGTAACTATTGTTCCCATTGTTGCATATATTATATTACTAAAACACTAGGAAAAGAAAATCTAAAAAAAAAATTTTTTTAGTTGCGAAACATTTGTGATAATTGATAAGAGTCGAACGGCATCAAAAGTTAGTCTGTTTATGTGAATAGGAAAAATAAAGTGAAAACAATTCTAAAGTACAATTAGTTGATTAATCACTATGAACGGAAGATGATTAATTTAGTCAGTCTTGAAAACAAACGTTTAACGTAATCTATAAACAATTATCATCTTGTTGTTAGTCGTCTAATTTCTATGATTATTTTGGTTAAGTTACTAACCAGTAGCAGGAAAATATTTTAAGTGGTCTTTATAGTGCAGGAGTTTTAAAATCTTAGAAAATGTTTTCTAACAGAACAAAATTAAGTACTGATATAGTATAGAGTAAAGAAAATAAGAATCCCCAAAGAAAGCCCAATTTTTCGTCAATGGTTCATAAATTTGGTATGTTTATTGGATATCTTTCCATTTCAAAATTATTTAAACATAAGTTATTGCAATAGTGCAGAAACTTTGACACGACGATTTTTTGACCAAAAGCCAATGGTACATGACAAAGGCAAACAAATGAAATCATCAAGAAGGAAGCGGCGGGACTCAGACATAATGTTTAAGGTGATCTTTTCTTTTTTTGGTCTTTCTATTAAAGTCAAATTTGTTGTAATTTATTGAAATATTGTTAGTTTACCATTTAGAGGAGGTTACAGCATAAAAAACGGCATTGATTTTTAATATGCTTAATTTTATGTCTTTTTCATTGCTGATGAACAAATATTAAGAAATATTGGAGAGTAACAAAGTCCTTTTCACTTGTAATGATCCTTTGTCCCGGCTCTTATCATTATTTTCTCAATAATATTTGTATAAAGTTGATGACACTGAAAGGGTTATGACGCTCAGGTGATACAATGCATGACGTGATATTTGTCCTGACACAGTTGCATTTGTTGGTGTTTCAAACCAAGTCCAAATTCACTATGTTTTAAATCCTAAATAACATCAAAGTTTAATTCGTTTTAAAAGTCACTACTTTATGCTTTTGAGTTTAATCCGGATTGCTTTCACTTAGACGGATTACCAAAACAACTCAATATGTCAGAATTCATTTGGGTGCATCAATTGTTTCACCTACATCTTACCCATGACATTTGAGAAGGCAGAAATGTATGCAGGATCATTAACAATTGTAATAGTTCCGTTCAGTCTTGTGATATAGACACATTTATATTCAAAGCAAACTTTCGATAGTTTTCAAGGAGGGCGCAAATCATCAACTGATATCTTTATACATATCACAGTTAAGCAATTTGTCTTCCACATAAAATGTTATCTGTGTAACTTTGAATCGCAGCTTTGCAATTTATATTCCGCATAAAATGCATTTCTTCTTACAAATAACCCCGATACTTATCATCTTACTGAAGAAGCTATGTGAAATTTAAAATTAGACTAGAAGGCAGATTAGAAGAGCAGACATAAAAAAGTAAGAAGTATCTGTTGAACGATGATTAACTTGGATTCGAAAATTCGATGTATGAAATAAAATGATCGATATCAGATTTCATTTTTTTTTAAAATCCTACCTTGACTTGTATGCTCATATTTTTTTTTCTAATTAAGTGATTTATATACATTTGGTGAGATTGCGTCGCCCTATCACGAGTTTTCGTAATACTTAATACGTTATTATATTTGCATTTGTTCGTTAATTCTTATTTGATAGAACAATTGCAACTCAAGAAAACGTGTTGCTTATCTGCAGCTATACACATACGCGCCCAAGAATTACGCAGGGTACACGAAGATTGTGTTACTGCAAGTATACTTAAGGCATATGACTGGCTGATGCCAATGTAACCTGCAAGTATACTAAAGGCATACGACTTGCTGAAGCCAATGTAACCTGCAAGTATATGAATATGCTAGGCGTGTGAGATGTTTTACTGTTCATTAACTGTCATGAACAGATTGCTATATTAACATTTTTTTTGTTCATTGCTCCCATTTCCAAAATATTCTCACCGTAGGTCTTTATCTCCTTATCTCTACTACCACGAACGGTATAATTTACTCGAAGCTTCTCATATCTCGGATCCTATTTGTAGCATGAAAATTATGAAATTGCTTTACTATCAAGCACTTGGGATAATCTTGCGTGCCATTACGAAAAAACTATTGATACCTGAGTGATAGTAGGTAATTAACTATAATTTGGCGTATCAAATGCTATGAAATTGCTGTTATCTGTTATATAGTTCTATTAATTATACA